AGTCAAATGTTATCTTAGTATCAAGGGTAGTCAATGTCACACCACTTCTGGAATTCAGCTCTTTTGTCCATGATTGGACAAAGACTGTAATGAGGTCAGAGCTGATAGAATCCAAACATTATCATTGAGAAGGATATTCCCTTGCAGAGGTTGCTTGCTAGCACTGTCAATGACCCTTTTCATCACTTTGCTGAAGATCAAGAGTAGGTTGATATAGCAGTCGTTGACCCAATTGTATTTGTCCTGTATTTTGTGTACAGACATTCTTATGACTTATCTCAGAAGAGTGTGCCTATAGTCATGCCTAAACTATTCTACAACCATAGCGCCATAAGAAATAGGAACAGGAGTAGGTCATTCAGCCCTTGAAGCCTGCTCTGCCATCCAGTAGAATCATAGCTGATCTGACAGTTCTCACGTCCACTTTCCTGCCCTTTTCCCCATAATCCTTGATTTCCCCTACTGATCAAGAATCTACCTATCTCAGCCTTAAATATACAGAAGAACTCTGCACCCACAGCTCTCTGTGCAAGGACTTCCAAAGACTCTCAACCCTCTGAGAGAAGAAATTCCTCATCATCTTAATCGTAAATTGGCAACACTTAATTCTGAGGTTGAGCCATCTGGTCCTAGACTCTTCCATGAGGGAAAGTGTCCTCTGAGTGTTTACCTTAAGTCCCTTAGAAATCCTATATGTTTCAATGAGATCATCTCTCACTCTTCTAAATTCCAATGAGTAGAATTCCAACCTGTTTAGCCTTTGCTGATGAGACAATCCCTCCATACCTAGGGCCAGCGTAGTGGGCCTTTCCTGAACTGCCTCCAATGAAATATTTCCTTAAACAAGGGGCCAAAACTGCTCACAGTACTCCAGATATGGTCTCACCAACACCTTGTGCAGTTGCAGCAAGATGTCCCTACTCTTATACTCCAACCTACTTGAAATCCATTACATGAATCTATGATATGTACAAAATCCCAATTAGAACACTGGTTTGCCTGAATGTTTGCTAATCCGGACAAAAGCAATTTACACCGGGTTTTGTCATCAACAGAAACTATCTCTAATTTTGTAACACACAACTTGAACAGATGGCAGAGAAAAGAAAAGGTTCCTAACAGAATACTATACGGCTTGAACTATACCTTTTTAAGAGCCCCATGAGTACACACAATTATTCACGATTATTATAGCCAAAAGATAAACAGTCTGACACAGATAATATGGGTGGAAAAATTATAAGCATGAAACAAAAATCTAAAATCCAAAAATAAAATCAAGAATTCAGATCATGAGTGGATTAACTTGTCTCTCTCAGTTCCTTCTAATTTTGGCAATGATGATATGCTTTGTCTATAAAGCAATAGTTATTCTTCACTTTGAAAGTTGACTGACTGGGCCTGGATTTTGCCTTATTAGAGTCATTTCTTTTCAGCTTCCTTGATTTCTTTTTTGGTCTTTTCACTCTCACCCCCAGAAGGAGGGGTAAGAGAGATCTTTTTAGTTTGCCATTTCTGGTTGCTCTGCACCTACAGATTTGTACCAAATGGAGCTTAATCAGTCTGAGGGCTGTTGTCTGGCAATTTTCCCTAACCACTGTGTCTCAAAGCAACAATCCAACATTTTCAAGAAGAAAAGTTGTTTTATGTGGCTAAAAATGTGCACCACTTGATTTTTACAAGGTACAAATTTCTCCTGCTATCTCAGCTATACAGCAGTCTGACTTCTATTCCAACTTTTAGCCCAAAAAGGAAAAATATAGCCCCTTAGAATGTGCCTGGGCAATTTTCCACATTGTTAGACAGATCCTGTTGTGGTAACTGCATTGGAACAACTTGGTTAGTGGTAGCTAGTTCTGGAGAACAAGTTTTCAGTGCTATTGCCCAAATGTTTTCAGGATCCATGGCCTCTGCAGTATTCAGTGTCATTTTTTGATATTGCATGGAGTGAATCAATTTGGTAGAAGACTGATATCTGTAATTCTCAGGACATCGGGGGGAATTTGAGATGGATCATCAACTTAATGCTGCACCTTTCTCAACCTATCAGTCATTTTAGCTTTAAACAAAAACATGAGTGTTTATTTTTAGCCATTCTTCATTGCGCAATTCTCTGGCACTCTGGAACAGTCTCATTTCTGTTCTCTTTAAAAAGCTATTCTTTTTGTGTCTCAGTTAAAAGACTGTTCATACAAATGAAAATATTTGTTGACTACCTCGGGTCTAACACAGTTCAGCACTCATTTGGTTTGTTGGTCGTTGCTTATGAATGAGTGATTTGATAGGCATCAAGCCCACTACTCCTGTCAGGTTTCTTTCTGTCTCTCCGGGTTAGTTCGACCTTAGTCAGTCAATACGTTTTTTTTTTCCAATATCCACCATCTTGCATTTGTTTCAAATTTCATCATCCAGAATCTTGCTCACCTCCCAGCTTGGACCGAATGTTTCCTGTATGTTTTGACCGATTCCATTGTCATTCCCTGCTATAATTTTCAAATGTGGTCAACTTGCAGTTTTGGAAGATTGAAGTTTTGTGCAGTGATCTTGAAAACAGTGAATAACCAAAGTGTTCTGTTCCTGACTCAGTCTATATATTTGATTCAAACTCATGTGAAGGCCCAGACACTATATAACACTGCATGTTACAGAAATATTTTCTCCATGGAGTTTATAGAAATAGTAATTGAACCTTAAATATTGTAATAACATGCAACTTTAAAAAAGCAAATATTTGTAGACTGGTGTTGACCTCTGTAACTTTTATAGGATAGATTAGGTATACATGCGCTCTGGTTATTATTTGACATTGAGCCGTATACCACAAAGGAACACAGGCATCGGTCTCCACTTTAGAGAGAGACAGTTGCTTATGGACACCATGTGTGTAACTTTTCTGCAAGTATATTGTTAAGGTGAGGAGTTCATTTGAACTACCATAGCTGTTACATGGATTGAACCCTGCCATTGGCTTTATTCTGCACCACACTCGAGCTAACTGTGCTACATAATCCCCCAGTTTGTACTGAGGAACTCCAACAATATGAGAATAACTGTAGGGATGGGATTAGCTTCCATGTTAAACTGGAAGTACCCAATTTCCACCACTTACCTCAACCCTTCAGTTGGCAGATTATCCATCTAGCATGGAAAAAATGAATTTCTGTTTATATTTTTGATAAACTGCATATTATGATTAAATTTCATGATAGCAGGATAACCATACATTTTGTGCTCCAGAAGCCAGCAAAAAGAAGATTCAAAGGGATGTGGTCAAAATAAATGGTTGAGGAATGGAAGTTGAATTTTAATATGCTTATGTGCAGCATGTTGAATGTAGAAACAGATGTGGAACTGTGGGTATTCAATGGGAGGTTTTCATTAGTAAACATGGAAAATGAATTGTGATCTAATTGTTGAACAATCATTGGAAACGTTGAATTATTGTCATGCGTACTGAAGTACAGTGAAAAGGTTTGTTTACGAGCAGTACAGGCAGAACATAGTAAGCAAGAAGTACAGATCAAAAAGACTTAGACAGAGGCACACAGGTTATATTGCACAGGGCGTGCACTAGGCGAGATCGATTGTCATTTGAGGCTAAAGAGTCCATTCATCAGTCTGATAACAGCTGGGAAGAAGATGTTCCCGAACCTGCTGGTGCGTGTTCAGACTTCTGTATTCTCTGCCTGACAGACGAGGTTGTAGGACATCATTACCTGGTATGATGGGTCTTTGATGATGTTGGCCTCCTTTCCGTGGCAGCGAGCCATGTAAATGGAGTCCATGGATGGAAGGTTGACTTCTTTGATGGTCTGGGCTATGCACACCACCTTTTGTAGTTTCTTATGGTCCTGGGCAGAGCAGTTGCCATACCAGGCCATTATGCACCCAGACAGCATGCCATCAATGGTGCATCTGTAGAAGTTGGTGAGGGACCTTATGGACATGCTAAATTTCCTGAGCCGCCTGAGGAAGAAGAGGCATTGTTGTGCCTTCCTGATTGTTTCTGTTCTCCTCGTTTCTTTCTGAAGTCAATGATCAGTTCTTTAGTTTTGCTGACATTGAGTGAGAGATTGTTCTCATTGCACCACATCACTAAGCCCTCTATCTCCCTTCTGTATTTTGGCTCATCATTGTTAGATATCCGTCCTACTATGGAGGTGTTGTCAGCGAACTTGTAGATGGTGTTCATTCAGAATTTGGCAACACAGTTGTGGGTGTAAAGGGAGTACAGTAGGGGGCTGAGGACGCATCCTTGGGGGGGCTCCAGTGTTGGGTGTTATTGTGAAGGAGGTGCAGTTCCCTATCCTCACTGATTGCAGTCTGTGGGTCAGAAAGCTGAGGATCCAGTTGCAGAGGGCGGAGCCGAGACCAAGGTCACAGAGTTTTGAGATCAGTCTGCAGGGGATAATGGTGTTGACTACAGCTCTACTTTCAATATGTGACAATATTATAGCAGAGCATATTAACTGCAAGGATATTTGATAAAAATCATAGCACACCACTTTAAAACTGATAAAATGATATTTGTCATTTCTTATAGAATGTCTAGGTAACTATCAAATGGTTAAGGAAGTCCTGATGAAGGGTGTAAAAACCAAAACCTCAGCTTTCCTGCTCCTCTGATGCTGCCTGGCCTGCTGTGTTCATCCAGCTCCACACTGTGTTCGCTCTGGCTCCAGCATCTGCAGTTCTTGCTACCTCTGAATGCTGGCAAGGTTATGCTCCATGTTAAAGCTTTTTTAACTGCAGTGTCATGTAAGTTTGTGATTTCCTGGTTCAGTAGTCGAACAGTTGCAGAAAGATCTGACGGAAGATCACAGACCTGAAATGTTAACTCTGTTCCTCTTGCTGTTTGATGTGCTGAATATTTCCAGCATTTTGTTTTATTTTACCACTATAAGCACTACGCTTCATTACAGTTTAACTACTGCATTGTAATTCACTTCACATGACATTTTCACACAGATCGTTCAAAGTTTATGGTAAAGTACAAACAAAGATTGCATAACAGCTGAGAAAATGGTTCCTACTGGATTAAGCAACATGAAGTCAGGATACTTCATCTCCTTCGGCTTGCTTTTCCGTAAGTATTGTGCCCAATAGAGAAACTTTAGTATTTGTATGAGAGGGACTGAAGGAAATAGCTAAACTGAACATTAGGATGAGAAGAAAGCAAATAAAAAAGTGTTGTTTTGTCATTGTAAAATGTCTGGAAAGGTGGAGTTGCCAAACTGTACGAGATAGAGATTTCCGCAGAAAAGATGGTTGGTGTCTTTTCCAATAGGACAATGAAACAATGCAAATGTAATGACAATACCTATAGTTCTATTATTACATTCACTGGTATATTGGGGAGAATCGGCAGTTCAGGTATATGTGGATTAATTGCGGTGGAAACATAAACAACAGGAGTTTATTATTGTTTTACAATCTGTGCAACCTTTGGGTTCCAGAATGAACCGGAACAAATGGTAGATCAAAGCACGTTCCCAGTAATACGGGCATGATTTTACCCAGCAGCAGCTACTTTTGGTTTATGTGACTACTTAAAAGAATAAATCTAAAATGAATCTGGGTAACTATGAACTATTGGCCTTATATCAGAAATTGATAAAATAATAGAATTGATTATTAAAAATTGAGCCAAGTTGCACAAAAATAACCTTCTAAATGACAGCCAATTTGATTTCAGATGGATCGGATATGACCCAGCCAAAATGTTTGACTTCCTTTATTGCATGCAGTTCTGGTCACCACGCTACCAGAAGGATGTGGATGCGTTGGAGAGGGTACAGGAAAGGTGTACCAGGATGTTGTCTGGTATGGGGGATTTTAGCTACAAAGACAGGATGGATAGACTGGGTTCGTTTTCACTGGAACGCAGGAGGTTGAGGGGTGACCTGATAGAAATTTCTAAGTTTGTGAATGGCATGGATAGAATGGAAAGTTTGAGGCTTTTTCCCAGGGTAGAGAGGTCAATTACTAGGGGACACAGGTTCAAGTTGTGTGGCAGGGGGAAGTTTAACAGAGATGTGCAAAGCAAGTTTTTCACACAAAAGGTGAGAGTGCCTGGAACATTCTGCCAGGGCAGGTGGTGGAAGCAGACACAACAGCATCATTCAAGAAAGACCTGGACGAATGCATGAATAGAAGGGAATAGAGGGATACGGATCATGTCAGTGAAGATAGTTTTAGTGTGGAAGGGCAGGTTTTGAGGGCCAAAAGGCCCTCCAGTGCTGTACTTTTCTTTGTTCTTGTATCCTGAGTATATGTTGGTAAACCTTATGTGTCTCACGGTGTATCCCAGAGATTTGTGTCAGGCTTCAAATATTCATCATTTTTATTTGTGACTTAGACAACAAGATACAGAGCCATGTATCATCCATGTTTGCCAATGACACAAAGATCAGCAATACTGTAAGCAGCACTGATGGAAAACTCCAAACGCACAATATTAATACATTAAATGAATGGACAAACTGTGGCTCCGTGAGGTCATCCATTTTGGATCTAGAAAAGATAGATCTGAATACTTTCTAAATGCTGTTTGGCTAGAAATCATGAAGATTCAAAGAGCCTTCAAAGCCCATGTGCACAAATCATTAAGATTATTGTAGATAGGTACTCCAAAAGGTTGAACAAATGCAGCTTTTACGTTTGGAGTCTCAGTTCTGTTCATGACACCTTGGAAAATATAAGCTACCCTCCCTCCAAGGACAGCATAGATTTACTAGAATGATATCTGGACTCCAAAGGTTAAATTACCAGGAATAATTGCACAAGCTGGGATTTATTTCCCGCAGTTTAACTCCAAGATGAGAGTTCTACCATTCAGCAAAGCCTAACACCTAACAATCTGAAACAGGAGAAGACATTCGTACCATATTAGAAATAAACTGAGTGAAGTGTCCCTGTACTGGGTACTGGGGCTTCTGTAATTTATGAACTATAAAGAATTATAGAGCTGTACAAAGTATTTGAAGGACTTTTGCTCATTTGCTGTCTGAAAGAACCTTCCATTTAGTTCTTGACCTGCCCATTCTCCCACACCTTGCAATTTATAATAAAAAAAACTACTTTGCTTTGAAATCGCACATGGATTCTGTTTCCATCACCATTTCTGTACATTTCTGTACAGGGACAAACTAAGTGAGCCAGATATTCTCTTTCATCTTAACTATGTGATGTTTGAAAATTCCACTAGCCTTACAAAATGTAAACTGCTTTAAACTCCCTGTTTTGACTCCATCTACTGAGTGAACATGATTGTCTACTTCTCTAGTCATCTTCGTTTCAATAGGTTTATTTTAATTATCTCATGATGCTTTTGTTAAAGAGCTTTCAGGTGCCTTGTACAGACAATGGATTCCTGACACCAACTTCAACAATGTTACAAACTGGGACAAGGAGAGAATTCCTTGTAAGAATGACAGAGTCTTATTTCATCAAGATAAGGTATGATTGAGATGTCCTGTTTTCTTTCTATTTATTTTCTGTTCACAGCATACCAATGAGTTTAATTTTTAATCCTTTTGTTACCTTGCAGAGTTTAAGCATTTTCATGCAATCGCCACTGGAACTGATGGAAATGGTAAGAATAACATTATGTTTTTCTTAAGGAAGAGGCTTTTGTAAAGGAAGAGGTTAGATTCAAGAACGCTGTTTAGATTGGCAAACAAGTAAGTTTTAAAGTTTTGTGTAGTTTGAAGTTTTTATAGTTAACGAGTTCTCTGAAGTTGTGCGTTTTTAAACCAAAAACAATGTTTCCACCAAATTTTCACTGAAGTTAGTGCAGTCGATTGGGAAAATCTTTGATGAAATTCCCAGTGTTGATTATTCATAAAAGAATTGTTTTCCTTTTTTTGGCGAGGTGTGTGTGCATGCAAGTATGTTAGGTAGTGACTAAACATGCTGCCCCCTCCTGGTGAGATAATTTGCAGCACCTTCTGTCTATCAGCTTTGTTGATAGTACAAAGGCAAATTTCTTGCCCTATCAGTTGTCTCAACATTGGTGCCCTGGGTTACTATAGCTGCTAGCCAATCAGGTGACAGTATGTTCTGAATCCTAATGTTCACTGGTCAAAGTCTACTTCAGATGTAACATGGCAAGAGGTTTTTGTTAACCTTCTTGCCTGGGGCCCAGGTGGCAGGAAGAGAAAAATGAGGGGGGTGGGGTCAAAGGCAAAGAACCCAAAGTGGCTTTCAAAGACAACTGCCATACTTCTGATTGCCCACAGACTAGGCAATTGGAGAACGCCCAACTTAGCAAGTCATCATGCTTTGTCTGTTGAGAAACTAACCACCTTTCTTCCCTGCCAGAGAGGCAAGTGATCAGCAAGGAAGCAAGTTAATGTCCTTAAGTGGCTCCTAATTGATCACTTAAGAGCCTTAATTGCAAGTGGGTAGAGAAAGACATCCATGGGCCTTCTCACCCAGCATTTAATCACAGAAGTGGTGAGCAGGGATTGAGGTTCTTCTCCAAGGCCAACTCTTTCAGTAAGTTCTCATTCTGGAGAAGGGGAATTCTGCCTAATGATCTTACACAGTCAACCATACCCAAAAGCAAATTGGTACCTTTGCAAGAGTATGTTCGGCATGAGGAACGAGGCTGAAAGTGTTTTTAATTAAAATTCCTAATAACTAAGCCATTTCCTCCCCGATTTCTTGCAACGTACATCAAATTTATAGCAGGGAATGGAACACTTTCATATTTTGCATCTGGTGCCAACAACATTTGCATGGTGCATTTAATTTGGTAAAACATCCCAAACTGCCTGACAAGAGCAACAGCAACAAAATGTATTTTTGAGCTGAAGCAGGACAGCTCAAGATAGGTGACATAAAAGACTCTTTAGATCTGATATAACCTGAAACCTCTCTCATGCTACCCTCAAAAGCACTGTGTCTGAGACATTTTACTTTCACAAATAAGTTACCCTTTGGCCCTCTCAGCAACATTGTCTCGTAACTTTCAAATTCTGAATAAGCTGTGGACTGACATCCATTGTTAACACATTTGAGACTGTTCAAGACACAATGATGAAACTTGAGATTCTTAATATTTACTGGAGATGTGATTAATATTTAATTTATAAAGTCCAGTATCTCGTGTGTATAAAAATTTATATAAAGTGAATCTCATACATTGAAACCACTAAATTTCTTACTTGTGCCTACTGCTTCACAATGCAATCTACTGTTCCTCCCTTAACCAAGCATGTGACAACTTCATCAAATATAGATCGAGTTTCACCCATATTCTGTTTTGATGAAGCCTTTACTGAGGTTTTAGAAATATGGCATGGAAATACTTGAAGAAAACTTTTGGCACATTGCCCAAGATTCAATCACAGCTGAGCTAAAGGAGAGAATGACGCATTTATCAGGCTGCTATATTTACGTGAGAGTGTGTTGAATTTGAATTCAACTGAACCAAACCACACCCTCTTAAATGAAATTTGAAATGAGTATGCCTCTTTTCAATGGCTCTGTTTGAATTACAGGACAAAGCTTAGTCCAATGTCTACATTGCAACATGGCTTTCATTAAATTACTCAATATCACAGCTGTAGGCAGGAACTGAATGCGAGCAAGGTTGAAGTCAGAGCTAATATGCATGGGGGATTAATGACCAGCAGTCAATCAGGAGATAATCTTAAATTTATTCAATGACAAATGATTTCTTTGAAACAATGTGATTTTTTATGTTTCTCAAAATGAAAGAGATCTGATATTGAGAAAAGAGAACATTTTCAGGACTAATATTGAACCTCCTGGGCTAGGCATGACACTCAGTCAGGAGTAAAATTCATTTACTTTCTTAATATGAATTGCTTCTTATTGATTTTCCTTGAGCCAAATCCCTCAGTTTTCAGAGCATGCTCAGATATAGAGTCATAGAGCTAAACAGCATGGAAACAGACCCTTCGGTCCAACTTGTCCATGCTGACCAGATATCCTAAATTAATCTTGTCCCATTTGCCAGCAATTGGCCCATATCCCTCTAAACTCTTCCTATTTATATACCCATCCAGATGTCTTTTAAATGTTATTATTGTACCAGCCTCTACCACTTCCTCTGCCAGCTCATTCCATACATGCACCACCCTTTTAAACCTTTCCCATCTCACCTTAAACGTATGCCCTCTAATTTTAGACTCCCCTACCCTGGGGAAAAGACCTAGGCTGTTCACCCTATCCATGCACCTCATGATCTTATAAACTTCTATAAGGTCACCCCTCAGCCTCCGCTGCTCTAGGGAAAACAGCCCCAGCCTATTCAACCTGGGTTTGATCTCTCGAGCCTATGCCTCCATGCTGCCATCTCACCACCGGTCACCAGCTGGGTTCACCAGCTACCTTGTCATAGCTGCCAGAGTCCCATTCTGGGGCTGGACCGGGCCCCAGCAGCTTCCAAGATGCTGCCAACCGCCAGAGTTCTGCCCAGGCATGCCAACTGCCTCGTGACCCGTGACAAAGTTCTTGCTCTGGTCCCTCAGCCGCCATTGTCTCCATGACTGAGATCTCTCCAGAGTGTAAGTAGAGGGGAAATCTTTTTAAAAAGAAGAAAGAAAAGCAGTCGGAGCAGACGAGCTCCAGCTCAGGAGCCTTACTCCATTGCTATCTTGGAAGTGTAGAATCTTGAATACTGTTTTGATAACCTTCCTGAAAGAAGGTAATCAATGTATTGGACGTGGTTCAAAGCAGCTTTACTAAATTGATATCTGCAATGAACAAGGCACCTTTTTGGAAAGGTTAGACAGGTTGGGCTTGTGCCACTGGAGTTTAGAAGAACAAGGGTTGACATGATTGAAGTGTATAAGACCCTAAATGGTTGTGACAAGGTGGTCACTAGAGTGCACTATTTTAAAATTAGGGGTCACCCTTTCATGACCGAGATGACAAGATTTTTTTTTTGAGGCTTGTGCAACTTTGGAACGGTCTGCCTCAGAAGGTGGTGGAGGTGAGGACATTAAATACTTTTGAGACAGAGACAGATTGATTCTTGTTAAGCAAATTGTGGATCTCGGGGGTAAATGGGAATTTGAGAAATAAGCAGATCAGCAACGATCTTATTGAAAGGTGCAACAAGTTCAAGGGCCTGAATGATCCACTCCTATTCCTATTTCATACGGCCATAAGTTGTCGGGAGTGACAGCGTGGCTTAGGAAAGTGAGTGAAGAAGCATCCTGATGTTTGTAATTACAAACATAAAGTACAAAAGCAAGGAATTTATAATGAAACTTCAAGAAATACTGGTTCGTCCACAATGATAAGATTGTGTCTAATTCTGGGCACCACACGTTAAGAAGAGCTTTAGGGAGGGTGCAGGACATATTTACGGGAATAGTTTCAGGATTTCCGTTGTATGGATAAATTGGGGAAGCGGGAGATGTTCTCCTTTAGGAAGAGAAAAAAATTGAAAGATTTGGAAGTGTTGTTCAGAATCGTGTGGTTTCCAGATAGAGAGAAACTGTTATCATTGGTGGAAGGGCAGCAATTTAAGAACATTTTTTTTTTTAAAAAGCAACTATATTGCGAGGAAAATCTTTATTTGGCAAGAGGTTAGGATTTCAAATGGACCATCTGATAATGTGATAGAGGCAGATACAAGTAGGAGGGAGGGATCTTCGCCAATGAGAGTAGCTATGTCTTCAGGATATACCTCTTGTCAACTTGATGAGATTTTGAACCATCTCACTTGCCTTCCTGCATTATGCGTACATTGTTGTTTCACTGTCTCTGTGGTGCCAATGTGAATTGGTCCGGAATTGCCAACATGGGACTTCCAAAATGGGACCTCCTGCTCGACTCTCTACACCCAACCTCCACCACAGTTCCTACTCCAGCAGTCTGAGTTAAATTCTGCTCATAATTCTTAGGAGTATATACCAAAATAATACTGTTGTATAAGGCAATGGTTCTGAAAAAGTTAATGTCCAAGTTTCATTAGCTCCACCCAATCTGATGATTTCACTTGCAGTCAAATTAGAGACAAATTGTTCTACATTAGCCTTCATAGGGAGCAGGTGTATTCTCTTAACAGTATTCCCTCAGAGTTGGCTCTTCAAAGTCTGTACACTGATTCAAAGTCTGGAACGGGGATGGGTGGTCAATGCCACATTGATGTCAGCATGGCAAGCGTCATGCATGGACCCTCAGAGAGGCTCCATACGTGTGCAACCACGCATAGGGAACATAGGGAAGAGATAACAAGGTGTAGAGCTGGATGAACACAGCAGGCCAAGCAGCATCAGAGGAGCAGGAAAGCTGACGTTTTGGGCCTAGACCCTTCTTCAGAAATATAGAGGGAACACTGGTTCATTGTAACTATGTCAGATAGTAACGTAAGATGTACTTTTTGCTTTCATGCAATCTTGGTAACTAAAATAAGTGTCGCTTCTGTTTAGACTCACCGGGGATCCATCCTTTGCCATTGATCATTAAACAGATCTGAGACAGTGCAGACTAAGGAGGATTGGTTGCTTTGAACAACCTCAAACAACCTTTGCTCTGTGCCACATACTAGCAGAAGTTCTAGATACTACTAAGTGACAGCAAAGCAAATAGTGCAAATACCACAAATGTTCCCCCCAGCTGGTTGTACTCAAACAGAAAGTGTGCTATTCCAATTTATAGACAGAAGTCTCTGGATGAGATGTGAATCTATGATTTTCTAACTCTCTTGACAGTAGTACCACTGTTAATAGCTGACACTGCTTATTTAACACCTAGACACGGATGAGCTCCAAGCTCATTAATTGAGCAGCAGGAAATCCAACATTGTTTTCAATCCTACCACAAAATGCTATCTATCGTCACCAATTCCAACCCTCTTCCCAGTAACTGCCTTGGGCTGAATCAGATACTTGGCAACTTTAGTCTTTGATTTGACTACGATCTCCTACTCTACTCCATCATGAATATCATGAGCTTTCAGCATTATAACATGAGCCTTAATTTCATTTGTCTCAGTCCATCTCCTCTAAAACCCTGACCCAGGCCTTCATCTCCAAATTGAAATCTTCCAATGCTTTCTTGCCATCCCTCAAGTCTTCAGCTTTCAGCTGAACTGAACCTGTTGCTTGCATTCTATCCTTGGTCCCACTCACTCATCATCACTGTTCTTGCTTACCTATTTGGCTTCTATCCCCTAATACTGAAAATTAAATTGTTCTTCATGGGTGTAAATATACTTGTTGCCCCTCCCCTTCTTATAACTGTACCTCATCCAACACTACTACTCTTTCTGGAATTCTACATTCTTCACTGAAATTCTACATTCTTCAAACTCTGACCTTGTGTGACATTACCTACTCCCACTCCATTCACTCCACCAATGGTAAACCTGCCTTTAAACATCTAGACTCGATACTCTAGAATTCCCTCCCAAAACCACTCTGTTACTTTACCTCTCTCTCCCCTTTGAACACAGTCCTTTAAAAAAGTACACCTATTTGACCAAGTTTTAGTCACCTCTGCCATTATCTCTTTCTTTAGCCACGACAAATTTTTGTCTGATTATTGCTTCTATGAAGTATCATGGGTTATTTTAGTGCCTTAAAGATACTTCATAAATGCAAATTAATGTTGCTTCAGAGAGAGCCAGTTGTGTAGAATTGTGAGCAGTGTCATGCGTCCACACCCATTAGGAATTGAGTTGATAGATAACACAGTGTGGAGCCGGAGGAACACAGCAGGCCAGGCAGCATCAGCGGAGCAGGAAAGCTGACGTTTCGGGCCAGGACCTTCTTCAGAACTGTTCTGTAGAAGAGTCCCGAACCGAAACATTGACTTTCCTGCACCTCTGATGCTGCCTGACCTGCTGTGTTCCTCCAGCTCCACACTGTGTTATCTCTGACTCCAGCATCTGGTCTTACAAACTCTGAGGAATTGAGTTGAGTTTGTCAAATCCTTTTCAGGTAAGATTTTTACAGTGAATAGAAAGAAGAAAATCTATCTCTAATAGTCTGACATAACTAGTGCACATTATGGACAGTTTAACACGAAGCTGCATAGTGTTACTGAGAGACCTTGAGCTGACTTGTGTGGAATTGAAATTGTTATGTCAGAGCAACAGTAATGTATTTCCAAAGCTGGGATTAACTGAGGATCCTTTACTCTGTAGTAAATCTCTGCTGATGCTGATGAACAGTGAAGTAAGTGTTCACATTTTTCTAAAAGGCCTGGAAATCTCACCTTAATAGTCATCATAGAAAACTGCAAGGGAAAATAATGTACTTCACTTAATGTAATATGTTGAAATATTACCTCAGACCATGCTCTATAACAGCGAATTGATCTAGTCCTGCAATATTATACTGTATATAGAAAAGCTGATCAGTTTCAACTGTCATCTATTTAGTTGGAAAAGAATTTACCTTTCTTTTTAAACTTGATCTATTTAGTACTTGCCTCTTGATGGAGAGTTCATCCTCACTCATGGAGCTGGATTTGCTGCCAGTGATGGTCAGAGTGTATCAGGATGTGAAAGAGGTATACTGTCGTATGACTCCCGTGTTTTGTTTTAAAGAAAGCAAACTACCTAAAGCCCTTTAAACCTTGCTCCCAATACAGAAACACTTCCATGCCCTAGTGTCATTTATATCTTTAATGTATTTTAATTTTAAAGCATCGCAAATGCACAGCTAATTACTGTACACTATCAACCATTTTGCTATCAGCAGTAAGAAAATAAAATGCCAGACCAAGTGTACTTTTAAGGTAAAGCTGTCAAACTCCTACACATATCACAAGCTCAAGATAACCAATATCTATCCTTATGCTACAGATTTCTGGAAAACATGATTTTGCCTTTGATGGTTTTATCGCTCCTGACTTCAGTGGTTGACCCATGGATTCCTTTAATGTTCCTAGCTCTGGATCACCACTTTCTGACAATTTTGGATCAATATTCCTTTTTCTTTTCAATCCTTTTGCATTTCAATGACCTCTTTCACTTGAGATGTAAACGCTGGCAGTTTCTACCCGTAGTTTGCACACAACATTTATTAGTTTTTTATTCATTAGGTGCTCTTAGTGCGCGTAACCTTTATTCTTTTTACAGGGCAACCAGTTCAATCAATAGACCTTGATCTCCACGTCCTTTGAAAGGGGAAAATAAATCTTTGTTCTTGTAATCCTCCGCAGACACCTTTTTTTTGCATATTTTTAGTAAATTAATCCAGTGACTAACCTATTTTAAATAAAAACAGAATAAAAATACACGGTGGGTCTTTCCACACTGAAAAAGGAGAAAGAAAGGTAAAACATTTATCTTATTTTCACATGAAACAAATACACCATCCTACATGCTGTTTATCCTTTTTGGATTTCCACAGGGTTGAAATCAAATTTGCAACTTGAGTTTTCTTCTCCAAGCTTCAAAATGTGCCACTTCTTCCTTCCTTCCTTCTTTTGGGTTGTTCCTTTCTCCGGTAGGCTTCAGTCTTAACACTATCTTCAAATTTATCTTCAAGAATGATTAAAACCTGTCACAAATCCTTCTTTTGATATGGGTCTCAAGCTAAATGCATTCTCAAACAAGTCTCACCTAACTGTTGGGTCTATTGGCACAGATGTTATGGAACTCACCGCTGTGCACATAAATTGTCTCTCAAATAAGCTATTAAGCATGAGATAGGCCATCCAACACTGATTTTACTTCAGAAATTCCAGTTAGGACAGACTGAAATGATTGCCTAGGACTTTATTTAATGAAATGCATCCATTCCATAGCTCTGAATGTTTAACATTCATGTTGAGTTCCTAAGTTGGGAAAATTCAACGGAACAATTAATTTTGAGACATTAACTCTGATGTGCTAAGATGATGTGGCCCTTTTCTTCAATGCAGGCGAGGATATCACTTTCAAAGACCCTAGCCAGTATAAATGGTATGATCCCAAATATTGGTATACAGCTTTATCAATGAGTGACCTGGAAAATGAGAAGTACCTGTTCATCTTGGATGAGGAACGTGTTCCCTGCCAATATGACGATGTCATTTTTCGACCTGAAACATCTTTTCGTGTTGACTTGGACAGCGATATACAAAATATCAATGTGAAAACCATTTCTTTAATGAATACGGTGAGTCCTCCGTTTCTTCAAATGCTGAGTTTCGATCATGTCTTTTGATCCATACCAGCCACATTTTCCAAAGTGAAATAAAGTTTTGTGGTTTGGAGAAAATTCTTTTGAGGAAAATGACAAATAGGGTCAGGCCACTTTTCAAAAGGTCTGGTGCATCCACCCAAAAAGGTCTGTTTTGTCATGGTCCTGTAAGACAGAACTGCCTTGAGTGGAGTTGACAACAAGTCTTTGAGGTGCACTTAACCCATGGCCGCCACTGAAAAAGTAAATTTGTTTTCTACGATATTCCTTCCTGCCATAACTGGCCTGCACTTGCTGTCCTCCTCACACTCGCTGGAGTTTCTGAAAACTGGTCTATGTGAATTCCTAGATGATGGTAATACGTTATGTGCTTAAATATTGTCCTTCGCTCATTTCAATGATGTCATTGAATATTTCACTTTTCATCGTAGACATTTGCAAGCAATGAAGAGTTTGCTGAGTACATGTGGTCAAATACTGGAAAATTACAGTTCCAAGGAAATGGCTCGATCACTGTGAGAAATGTCAAGTGTGAGGATAAATCTGGCTGTGATTGTGGTAACTTTGGTGTAAGCATCTAGCTCAAACCAAATGACTGTGCTACTCATAGATTTGTGATGCATGCATTTTCCAGACTTCCATGAAGAAATTGTTATTTAGACCATGTTTTCTTAGGATTAAGAGAAAACAACAGGCTTGGCTCTTTTTAATCTGTAAGCTTTTAACTCTTAAATATGTTGGCAATAGGGTAAAGAAAAAAAATATACAGCTGGCTTATTTGCATCTTAATCTTCAGTCAAATATTTATGTCATTTTGACTGCAAACACACACACACCCATTACTGGAATGTTGCTCCCTATGAACCAGCATGTGACATTACAGTTGTTCAGCTTGCGTCACTTTCCACCATCTTGCCTCTGAGTCAAGATCCAGTCCATACTTCAGCTATTATTCTAGGCTGATACTCCAGCACAGTGCAAAGTCAGTGCTGCACTATTGGGCAGGTGTCCTACGAAACTTTAATCTGACATCCATTGTGCCTATTAGGATGGTTGTGCAAGATGTCGAAGCCCTGTTTGAAAAAGAGTAGGATATTCCCTAGTTCTTGACGAACATCCCTTGCCACCCCATCAAAAGTAAGTTTGTTAATTTGTTCATGAGGCTTTGCTGTGTGCAGTGGTTACTTCATTTACCCGTACAACAATGATAATGGAACTGTAACAGTAATTGGTTCCACCGTGTTTTGGGATATCTTGAGGATATCATTGATATGATTTTGGAAATGTAAGTCTTCTTTTCCTACATTACGTAACATTGCCTCTTACAATAATAGGTTGCTGCAATTGATAACGAGCCTTTTACGTTCTTGCTGTATTCCAGTAACAGACAAATGAAGACTCCATTGGACCATGTGACTTTAGCGACAAACTAAAACACAGATTTATTAACAAACAAAGGTTGAGCAGCAGCATAATTTTCAATCCGCATAGTTCAGCCTGTTACCAAATTGCTCACATTACTTCTGATTCCAGATGGAACAAAAGATGCTTAATAATAATAATAATACTGAATCATAAATGTCATGGGATCATTTGAAGTCTTTGTGTGACTTCTCCACCCATGTTCCAGTATTCTGGTATGAGAAGAACTTGGCAAAGTTGTCACATTTATTCTTCAAAATTAATAGCTTCCTGAATTGTCAATCAATACACCAAACTGGCTTCATCCATAACCTGTCTGCTGGGACCCAAAGGATTAACGTTTTAATGAACCTGATGTAATAGAAAGATACCTAAGTGGTTAGTTTGGTATACATTGTTTCTCATGATATCCATGCGACACTATATATATGCCATTATATTAAGGTCCACTAGTGAAGTGATAAGTATGTTTGGCTGTCTAACTTGTGGACCTGATTCGCCTCTCATTACAAGTTTGAGCCATATTTACAGAATGCAGAGTTAGTAAGAATTTTCTGAAGAAGGGTCCCGACCCGAAACGTCAGCTTTCCTCCTCCTCTGATTTTGCCGGGCCTGCTGTGTTCCTCCAGCTCCACACTGTATTTACAGAATGCAGATTCCGTCTCTTCCACGGAGTTGCAAATATTGTAATATCAATTTAAAATGTCAATCAGTATTTCATATGTAGAACAAAGCACAAAACAAAAAGCAAGAAAGCTGTGAATGTGGAAGTCTGAAAACAAAGAAAAATAGAAAATGCTGGAAATATGCAGAAGGTAGACAGTATCTGCTTAGAGAGACAATGACATGGCTAAGCACTTAAGAAAGACTGCAATGGCTGAACTTTTAGCTTTATTTCTTTATTTTTCAACTTAACACTAAGAAGTACTGTAATGCTTAACTTTCAACCTTTTTAATGCTATACTAAGAGTGACTGTAATGTTTAACTTATAACTTATTTCCATATTTCTTTCTACCTTGTTCTTAAGTTGTTGTACCTAGGTGCTTATACCTAAGATGGCACTGTGTGTGGAAACATTGAAAACATTTCACTGTACTCCTGTACTTTTGTACTTGAGTACACATGAAAATAAAGTCTACATTTAAATCTAATGGGCTAAATGTTCACTGTTTTAACAAAGGCCTCACACATGAGACACTAACTACTCTGTTCTTTCAGCAGCACTATTTGTCTCAACTGCTAGTAAGAAATAACATTTCAAGAAGAATAAAGATGTTAGATTTAGCTAACCTAGAATAGAGAAAGTTGGGTAATATATAAAGCGTAGAGGAATAACTCACTAGGATAACGTGGATAATCAAATTTCCCACAATGAGTTTCAAATGGAGGCAAAAGATGTTGCAAACCTGAAAGGTGTACCAAGGTAGGGGTGGGGTGGGGTGAAAGAAGGAATGGGACAAGAAGGCAGCTGTAGAAGAACAGAGCATTTCCCAATGTTCCAGTGGGAATATAAAATATCTGCAGCCTATTGAATCATCAAACACGCTGCATTTCCATAACTCATGTTTTACTTTGCAGAACCACAGAAGGATTTGCTCGAATTTGCAAAAAGAATCAGGAAGCCAATGTTCAGAGCTTATTTGCACAAATCCCTTGAAGCCTCTAGGACATTGCTGTGACATATGTGGTGAGTGTTGCTAATGCTAATTTTTAAAAATTCAGTTTTGATCCATTTCAATTTTAAGGATCGCTAACATCCCATTTGATTAATTTTTCACTTTTTTTGTGTATTTTGTGAGTTATTTGTTATGGTGAAGGACATCAGTACTATGACAATGGGACATTTCCATTTCTATCACCCTTTTCTCTATCAGGTATAGGTCAGTTAAATGTAAAGTAAATCTCCCTCTCCTCTGTCCATTATTGTAACAGCGTAAACTTAGGAAAAGTATCCTACACTGAATTAAAATGATGACTTTTTATTTCATACACCAGGCACCTACAGCCTCTCAAAGTGGGATTGTTAGTTTAGTGGCAAATTGCTTAGTGAGCAATTGAATTGGACCCTAAATTCATCAAAATTTTAAACAAAAGCAGAAGTTGCTGGAAAGTTTAGCAGGTCTGGCAGTATTTGTGAAGAGACATCAAAGTTAATGTCTCAGGTCTGGTGACCCTTCCTCGGTTCTGAATTTGGGAACTAGTAAAATTCAGAGTTCTGAGGAAGGGTCACTGGACCCAAAATGTTGACTTTGATTTCTCTTCACAGATGCTGCCAGACCATCTAAGCGTTCCAGCAACTTCTGTTTTTGTTTCTGATTTACAGCATCTGAAGTTCCTTTAGATTTTAATCAAAGTTTTCTTTGTTTGTTTGTTACTACAAATTCTTGAATTATGAATCAACAAAGTCAAGAGTCCCTATCCAGCAGGGTTTTGGTATATACCAAGTTCCCAATGGCAAACAGATAAAATACAGTGTACTTTATAGTGGTGCCTTGTGTATTACAATATATACACACCTTCCACCACTCAAAACGTAAATTAGCTGATCTTCTGGAAAAAAATGAAAAATGAAACAATATCCAGGCCAATTTGGGAAAATCTGGGAAATTCCTCTTTAACTTATCTAAAAGAAACTATTCTGCCTTTTTAGATTACTTAATTCTTGTGTACAACCGTATCTGAATCTTACTAGCTCCCAAATTCAATGATTAGCATCCACGCTCAGGAAAAGAGTTTGCTTTAGAAAAGGGTTTAAGCATCTAAGTGTTCCCAGGATCTAATGCCTATGCCTATCAAATGCATGAATAAACATTCAAATGGAACATCAAATCCATATGTCCAGTTGTAAAATAAAAACAAGGTGCTGGAAAAACTCAGCAGTTTCTCTTTCCATAGGTGCTGTCAAGTTTCTCCAGCACTTTTTTATTTCAGGTGCCCAGCACCTACAATACTTAGAGATAGTAGGAACTGCAGATGCTGAAGAATCTGAGGTAACAAGGTTTAGAGCTGGATTTCTGATTTCTGAAGAAGGGTCTAGGCCTGAAACGTCAGCTTTCCTGCTCCTCTGATGCTGCTTGGCCTGCTGTGTTCATCCAGCTCTACACCTTGTTACCTACAATACTTAGTTTTATTTGCCCTGTGATAAAGCTCGATTATGGTCCTGTACTCCATAATAAACAAAATTAAATTAACTTTTTCCACATTCCCTAGATTTCCTAAATGAAGTTAATAAAGTACTTTTGAAGTTGTAATGATGCAAAGTGCAGTCATCAATTTGCACCTGTCAGATCCCAAAAAAGTAATGAAGTAAATAACCAATCATCTGGTTCGCTGGTTTTGGTTGAGGGAGAAATGTTGATGAAGATATCAGGAACTATCCTGACCTTTGAATAGATCTTTGAATCATCTTTTATACAATTGAGAAGGCAGGAAGGGTTTGATAACTCATCTAAACAACAGCATCTTCAAAAATGCAGCAATCATTCAGTATTGCATGGAGCTGTCAGCCTCGATTATGTGCTCAAATCCTGGAGTGGAGTTTGAACCAAGTACTTCGGTACTCTGCTCACCTCGGAGTTCAACAGAGCCAAGGCTGACATACAACTTATTCAGCACAATATCTGTACACAAAATTCATCTATTGTCACAAATCTCCAAGGATGTACTTGCATTACAATGCTGGAAATCAGTAATTCCTGGTAATTGTTATTTTCCTAGTAATGTTATAATTTTAGCGTCAATACAAACTGAATCTGAGCCACAGCCAGAGCTGATACCTTTGGATGGATATATGCTCCCTACACCCTGGATTCAAAAGGAAGTCCTGACATCTAACTTGTGCTACACAAATTTAATTCCAGTAAACTTCAGATTGAAACATCATAAGCAGCCAGTAAGAAGCAAGTCTAGAATTACTACTCAACATGCAAAAGTACCAAACTATAGGCGAATTTATCACATATACCTAATGTTGGTGAGGTTTACAACATTAGAAAATCACTGATTACAGGTTATATAAGTATTGTTAATTTTTCAAAGGGCTGGATCAATAACTAATTATTGTTGTCACATTGAATTCCAGGTGCCATTATTTATTTAGAATATGGTCCAGAATTTGATCTCGAATTATACCAGGCCCATCTCTTCGAATCCTTCCTTTGCTTGGTATGTTGTTTTCAATTCTCACGGTATTACTTTGCTTCTCCATAGAAGAAATAAAACCAGCCCAGCAACAGGAGTCAAATATTTTTAAATTCTGTTTTTTCTCCTGTCTTTCTTTTGGATTTATTTAAGGGTTGTAAAAACAAGATTTCATGTATTAATATTTATTATTATTATTATTACAGAATTAAGCTCTATGAAACTTGCTCTGACCCACTGGGATAGCATATTATAAATCAAATTCCACTATTGCTGGACTTGTAACAAATATTAAATTTTTTTTAAGGTACGCACAACATTCCAATTTACTGTGCATTGAGACTAAGATTCATAGAAAGCACAAATCAGGTTTCTGAAACAAACAAATGATTTATTAATTATAAGTTTTACTATAGCTACAGGTAAACAAATATAGACAATGTACAGATAACACTGTTAACTAAAACTCTAACCTGTTTATAAACTCACCCCCCTCTCACTCCCTCTCTGACAGTCTCACACACACACACACTCTCACACATACAGTCTCACACACACACACAC